TCACTCCCATAGGTATAGGTTGTTTTGTACCCTAACTCTTGCTGCTTCACTTTCCTCAGAAGACTGTACCGATTTCAATCTGGCAAAAAAAAAAGTGATAATGTTCTATATAATAAATATTTGAATATTTAATCAATATAAATAAATACAGTAGTCTGGGAACCCAGAGAATGCAGCAAACTTGTTTTGCTTGCTTTATGGAGTCAATTTCAGGTATCAGCAGGCAGCCAGCCTAGTTTGTTATAGGTAAATTCACATGTTTTGGAAATCAGCACTAAGAGGTGTTTAAGATCTTAAACTATTACCAGAATAAAAGAGTGGACTGAAAAATTACAAGTAGTCTTTTTTGTGAGTCCCCTTCCCTAGCCTCTATCCACTTGAATGACTGGAGAGTGTCTAAAACTCTGTAGGGGTTTCGATAAATAAATAAATATATTGCAGATCAACCAATATTTGAAAATCATTTCATGTTCACTTACCAGACCTAAGGTCAGGGCTCTTTGCTTCTCCTGCATTTGTGGATCGCACTGCTCCTAGAAAGTAGTGTAAGTAGTGGTGCTAGAATAGTTGTTATAGTAATGGTGCTGATGGTGGAAACAATGTGTTTGTTTTGTTATTACTACTTCAAGCCAGGAGCGCCCCTCAGCATCCCTAGTTCCTGCACCTACAAGTGTAAAGATAGAGCTCTCCACTAGATCTGGAATTTGGTCTTCCAGGTAGCAAACCATGCCAGTGTAATTGTAGAATGTATTTATGAGTAAAGACTGCCCCGTTTCTCTGTTACAGACATAACCCGGGTCTTTCTTCCATGATTGCAGGGGGAAACTGGAACTGGAATGGTTTGCTTTACAGGAGGGTAGGGGCTGGGTGGGGCACAGAGTGGTGGAGTGGCTTCACTCCCCTGCATGTTGTGAGTCCCCAGTTTGGGTGAGCTCCTGCATGGCAGCATGAAGAGAGTAAGAACAGGGGGCGCTTAGGGTAGAGGAACAGTTTAGACATGGGTTCTTCCATTCTCTTTGTTTGCAGAGGTTTCTCTAGCCACTGGCTGGCATAGTTTCTGTGGCCTGGGTGGGAACTTCAGTCCAATTTCCCCCTATGCACAGACTCATCTAGCCAGTGGCCAACCCTCCTATTTAGGACCAGCACAGAGTTCAGGGTTTGCCTCTGTATGACACTTTTTTTTGGCTTTTTTATATTTAAAAAAAGAGAAAACTGCTTTGTCCAACGCTACATCTACGTCTTTTTTGTGGAAGAGGCCATGCAAATGAAGCGCTCATTAGCAACTTCTCACACTTCATTGGCATATTCTCTTCTGATGCTTTTTTTTTTTTTTTTTTTTTTTTGTGGAAAAGGTTTTTGTGCAAAAACAAGCAGTGTAAACGGGTCTGTTTAGCGCAAAAAAAACCCTTTTGCGCAAGAACCCTTATTCCTCAGAAAATGAGGTTTAAAGGCTTATAGCTTCTGCTGTCCTCCCTTGACTATTCCCATTCTTCTTTATCCATCTTTCTCTGTCCTCTGCTACTCTACAACATGGTCTGCAGGCCTGTTCATACTTCAGGGCTGCAGAGCTCAGAAGAATAATACTGCAATAAGAACTTAACAATGCCGGACACTTGGTGATAATTATGATGTGGTTTTTTTTCTCCCCTGAAAGTAGCTTTTTGCAATTTTTTTTTTAGCTGACACCTCTAAAGTTGCTTTGTGGTTAGCAGTTTTTGATTTTTAGAACCTCTGTGAATACTTTAACAGTGATGTGTGTACAATTTGCTAATTAATGGAATGATTTGGATTTGAAAATATTTTTCCTAATGGAATACTACAGAGCACTTGCATTAATTCATGATAATGTTATTCAATAGCTTTTCTTTTCTTCAAAGTTGGTTTTATTATCCTATAAAAGGTTTTTTCTAATTAATCTAACAGAAACCCACATAAATCTCTTGGTGGTACCAGTGCTCTCAGGGTGTCTGAATTCCTTACCTCATTCTGTTTATGATGAAAGTTTTTTATTTTTAACACCAATGCTTAAGCAAAGGGTGTAGTGTTTTGAATTGACATTGTCTTCCTTGTACATCTGCAGTACACTTCAAACCTTTAATGGTTGATAATGGACATACATTTTGTACGTTTAAAAAAAGCACAATTTATGTATCATCATGGTTCTTTAATACCATCTCAAATACTTTGGGAAAATCCTCATGAGAGTATTAAATCAATTAGTAATAATTAATTAATAACATGAGACTAGGATCTTAAAATATTTGACCTCCAAGGCTTCAGTATATTTACGATTGGTGAGGACTGTAAAGTTGTTGACAATGAAGAACTTTCTTTGCTTACTTCTAGAATATTATAAAGCCACACATTTTGTATCCAGATCTGGTTTCACAAAGTTGTTGGAATTAGACAAATTCAGGATTTCTTTCAGACTCACCTGTTCCATTTCTCTTGTAATGATTTTGCATTGTTGGATGGGGAAAGTTGTTTTTGTTTTGCTGTGTACCCCTAAAAATATTTGGGGTACATTTTTTGTCTGGAATAAATTAGTATCATTCCCTGGCATGAGCTACAATTAATTTGTGGTATGTGCAGGTAATTCAGGCTGGTGGGGTGAACAACATGAGCAATTAGAGAGGAAAATCATCTCTGACTGACATAAAATAACCAATCTTTTAGGTGGTCATAGCCATAGTTTCCTCCTCAGCATGACTGCCCACCCATTGCTAATCCCCAGTGGGAATGCCACAGCTGTGCTGGCTGGACATCTTTTCCTAGTTTAAGGTGACTATCTGATTAAAATTGGTATTGTTTTTCATTTATAGATTACTATAGGAGAGGCAGAGTATTCCATGCTGAACACAGCATACCTTGGGAGGTGGTGTGAATCATAAAATTGTAAGCCAAGTAACTATAAGCACGCATGACACACTCTCTGAAAATAATATTAGTATAGTGGTATTGACAGCTGACTCAGGTTACTGCAGGAGAATGAACGATCCAGTTAGTGTGACTATTGACATTTTCTTTGGTCATTCTTACTGGGTGCTGGGATGCTTCAGGGAACAAATTAGAAGATTCAGTCTGCTGTGTCAGTGACAAGTTATTTACATATAACTGTGAAAAAGCTTAAGAGATGTATTATCGTTATTACAATGCATTTAAACTAGTTGTTAAAACAATAGTAAGAACTAAAATGCCTAGATCTTAAACCATCAATTCGAAAAAGTTAATTGTTATTGCAAACTCTGTGGGTAGGTGTACAGCAGATATTGACAACTCATAAATCACACGTTTCAGAAGTCACAGCTAATATTAATTTTTTGACAAGATTTGTAGGAGACATGAATGGGTTATTAAAGGCTAACTGCTATTGCAAACCCTAAAGAGGTTATAATTGTTGTAGACTGGCTGTTTCTCAGCTGAAAGATAGTAGATACATAAGACATCCATTGGGAGTCCTCAACGTGGTCCCAACATTAACAGCATAATACTGTTATGCTATATGTTGTATTTGCACCATCCAAATCAGCAGGGCTCGCCGAACCGTGGCGAACCCCGCTCACCAGCTACGCTGTCTGGCAATCTGCGCATGCGCAGATTGCCTGAACCCAGCTCTTCCAAGTTACAATCTACTCGCCATGGGTGAGTAGATTGTATTATTTGTCAAGCCCTGCAAATGAGGATTTATAACTTTGTAAATGTTAGTGAATTTCCAATAATCTTACAGTGTTCCTGTGATGTAAAGATTATTATCCATATTTTAGAAGTGGGAGAATTGAGTCATAGAGAAGTCCCAGGTGCTGAGAACCTTCAGGTCCCATCAATTTTCAAATGAAATCATGGATGCTTGGTGCCCCCTGCAAATCAGCCCATGAGGGACTTGCCCCTGTCACACAGGAAGTCTGTGGCAAAGCCAGGACTTGAAGCCCTATTTCTTGATTCCTAGACTTGTGCCTTAAGCACAATATCGGTGTTCTTCCCTCTGTAAAAAATGTTCTCACTGTTCACCTCTTTCAGCAAAGACAGAGAACTATCCAGACAGAGCATCTTGGGATCCCCCTGTTGTAGAGGAAAACCCAAGGTTGCGTAAAACCAGCAGCAAGTTCTGTCTCACCCAATAAGAGTAGCACTGTAAAGACTAACAAGATGGTTTATTAGGTGATGAGCTTTCATGGGCCAGACCCACTTCTTCAGAAGTTGTTCTTCAGAAGTGGGTCTGGCTCACGAAAGCTCATCACCTAATAAACCATCTTGTTAGTCTTTACAGTGCTACATAGTCCTGTTTTTTTGTTTCAGCTACACCAGACTAACACGGCTACATTTCTACCCCAATAAGAATAGAGAGCATTCCTTGTCAGGCTGAGACAGGATGGATGAAGCAAAGATGAAGAACAGGGTGCTTATCAATAGCCAGCAGAGAATTATCAACTTAATTTAGGGTGGCCTTTAGGTTGCTTTAAGTTGTGCCAGAGACTTGTTTGGCCCCCAATCAGACCAAGAATTAGGGAGCAGAAAGGAGCTTTGATTCTACCTTCCTTCTCCACATTCCAAGAACTGCTTTGTCAGATGCAAGTATCTGGGTCACTGGCATTACCCACTGCTCTTTTCTTTCTGACTTAGCTGTGTTCTTGCTACCCTTTTTCTCCCATGTACATCCCGCAAGGAACACCTTATAACTGATTGGGGGAGGGGGGTCTGCAGAAACAGCTGCTGTGTTCCATCATAGAGGTGGCAGTATTTCATGAGAGGTGAAATGATCCCTTCAGTTGTTTATTCTGTGAGTCATGTTGGCTGAGTTACATTTGTAAAATACTCTGGATCCCTCTGGAGAAAAGGTGCCGTATAAATGTAAGTTGTCATCATCAGTTGAGCAACTGCTGGGCAGGGAGGGGTATGTCTGTTCAATAAAAATGAAATATTTTCTGTAGTTTCCAGCCCTCAAAAGTGTTTGCTTTGGCTTGTTCTCTTATTGACAGTGTTGCCTTCTTCCCTCTCTGCAGGTCTCCAGGTGGTTTTAAATTCCATTATCAAGGCTATGGTTCCCTTGCTGCACATTGCCCTGCTGGTGCTGTTTGTCATAATTATCTATGCTATCATTGGACTCGAGCTATTCATGGGGAAGATGCACAAGACCTGCTACAATATGCAAAGTGGAGGACAAGGTAAGGGACGTGTTACATGGTAGGAGGACCTTGATTCATTGTTGCCCTGCATTTTGTGTAACATTTACCCCAGTGCAAAGAGGGTATCAAAAGCTACCACTGTGACCTGGTAACGCAGGCATGGGGAACCTTTTTTGGGTCGGGGTCTGCTGACCCACAGAAAAAATCAGTTGAGGGCTGCACAGAAGTGAGAAGCAAAGTGAGAAGACCCTGACTAAGAAGGAGAAAGATACTCCTCACATTCCCCTCACACACCAGAGCCTATAGAGGGCTAGGCTAGTAGATTTTGTGTGCTCCAGCCCTGTGGGTGGGTGGCAGGGGGGCTGGAATGCTAGCGCAGATTCCCCAATAGGGGAGGGATCCCTGAGCCTCCAGGGCCAGATGCAGGCAAGTTGGCAGCCATATTTGGTCCCCAGGCCTGAGGTTCCTCACCCCTGAAGTAATGTTTAAACATCCGTCTGTCAGTGTCTTGCTCAGGTGTGTTTATGACATCACAAGGTGTACAGCAACAATGAATTGGACCCTGGAACAGAATAAACTCATGGCAGCAGCGCCTCCTTCTGGTTGGTGTGGGAATTAGCTCAGTTTGTCAGCAGGGTGCCTTCTGCAGGAGGTGTGTTGCCTGTCATCACCTCCAACCCTGTCTCCACCATGTCTCAAGATGAGAAATGTTGGAGACTAGAGAGAAGGGCATGACAGGCACAGCATCACCTGGGCCCCCATTGCTCCTTGGACTGCAGCATTCTCTTCAGGACACAGAAGGCAGTGCCCACCACTCCATTCTCCCCCCTTCCAGGGGTATCAGCAGTCCTCAGTCCTGGCACCTGCCTCCATTGCTGACTACAGGTCTAACCACTCACCTCAGGTGCAAGCTGCAGACTGTATTGGCCACGCTCCAGTATGGCATGGTGAAGTGTGTGTGTGGGGGGGGGGGGCCCCAACCCTCTGGCAGCACCTTTGTTCTGCCCTCCTTCTCTCCCCTCTACTGCCCACACTCTAGGCCTTCTCCCCATGATCCTTGCACTCAGCCCTTGCATCAAGACCTGCAATCTGGCAGTAGCTAGCCAGAGCTCTCACTACCTTCCTATCCTGCCTTCTGTAGGTCTTGGGTGCAGCCTTCCCTTTGAGAGCCAGTTCTTCCTCCTTCCTGGCCAGAGCAAAAATAACTTCCTCTCTGCCCTGCAGCCATTTTATAGGGCCCAGCCTGGCCCTGATTGGCCATCCCTATCTGCACTCTGATTGGCTGGGCTTATGCAGGCTCCCTCTGGCCTGCTTGTAACCCTTTCCCTGCTATAGTGGGGTACAGCACCAATGCAGGCTCTTTAATGTGGGGTGGTACTTGGGTACTGCTTATTTACCAGCTAGAACAAAGGAAATAACTCTAGAATTTTGCTCCAAGATGCTATGCTGGGTTTAGCCAGTTTCATAATTTCCTTCCTGCTAATTTGCTAATTTCATGATTAATGCATGTGTGATGCTGGTGTGAGTGGGCCTATAGGCAGCCCTGGAGCCAGATGACTTCTGTTTATCAAAAGAACAATTTTCTATGGTATTTATCTAATTTAGACATTTATATAGTACCACTCACTGCTGAGCTAAGTGGAAGCTTGAATTTCCTACATGCTGATGTTTGCAATTGTTTTAATGGGATGTTCAAGGTTTAACTGACTCCTAGAGCCAACCATCACCAGCAAACACAGTTTTAAACACGACTATCCTTGCCAACACTGAGGTCAAAATGAAGGTTAATACCCTGATAGTTAAAATATTTTAGTCACCGTATTTCTGCCCAATGTATTTTCTTGACGTAGGCCATGCCTGTGAAGCTATGGACTCTGTACCATTAGGGAAGTGTGAGGTGCTCATTCTGCAAGTGCATCTGTGGGTGTCAGCCCATGGCTGGGGAAATAATGTTGTTGTTTTTTATGTGGTGGAACTTCTTAGTTATTTTAAATTAATTTTTTCAAACCAAAAATATGTTTTCAGAATTTTTGACAAATCAAAAAGTATAAAGCAAAATGTCCTGGGCTAGCCAAAAGCTTGGTTTTGAGTTTGAACTTTAAATATTTTTTAAATTAACCTAAAAGAAATTTCCCAACAAAAAAGTTCTTTCAAACTGAAGTGTTGCATTTCAGGAATGTAAAAAAAAAAAAAAAAAATATTTTGGATATTTTCAGAATTTTTTCTCTTTTACTGAAGAAGCTTGGCTCAATGAACACAAATTCATTACATGTTTTAATACTGATGAATCTGTATATTTACTGGAAAAGGGTTTCAGGCCAAAAATTTTGCCCAACTCTGCTTTGTCCCCATGTTACCCTTGGTATTTAAGTCAGCTTCACATTTTTTCTGTTTACTATATCAGAAAAAGTTGCAAATGCCTTTAAACAGTTCAACAGAGGGATATTTGTCCATAAACATACAATGAGGAATTAGAAATATAGTCAAATGTAGGTGAAGGAATTAATTGAATAGAATCGTCCTTTTATATTCTCCTTATACAAGCCAATTTCTTCATCATTCTCTGTTCCCAGTGGATTCATCACCAGAATTGAGTTGTTTACTTGACCATTCTTTTTAAGCCTCAATTCTTCTCTAAGTCTTCATCCTTCAGACTCCTTGTGGATCTGTGAGTCAAAGAAGCAGAAGCTGTGCTTTGTTAGGGTATCTTTATGGGCTTCACCAGGGCTTACTAGCAGTAGTTGCTGGAGGCTTTCTGCTTGGGGAAAACTGAGAGCAGGCTAATTGCCCTCTGGGGACCAGATAGCAAGGTGTGACCAAGTGGTGATATTAGAGGCACCCTTTGCACATGTACACAAAGGAGAGGAAAGGAACAGCAGCTTACAAACAAACATTTTCACAATGAGGCTTTTCCATTATAAAGTAACTTTCACAGAATTAGATTCTTTTAAGTGAATGTAGTGCTGTTGAAATGTCTATGAGTGCCAGCACTGGAGATAGGAGTCCTCTATCTCTCCATAAAACAAGTACAATATGGGGAGCAAAAGTGGAAACTCCTACTCTCCCCCATAAACAGGATTCAACTTTGATGTGAAGAAAGTGGCTGAAAAGGTGAGAGTTGAGATCAGTCTCTACAGTCCATTGGCCTTTCTGTTGAGATTTCCAGCACAGTCGTCAGTTCCCGCTGAGTATGATAGTGCTTTTTAATGTGGATGTTTGCCGTTTGAAGCTGGGCTAAGACCTCCAATTTATTTCCCAGGAACTAAAGCAATAAGATAGTAATGACTTTCTCAATGGCAGACTGAGCTGTATTTGAGTCAGCAACATGAAGTTGAACAACTCACCTATTCTGTACATCCTCAAATATACGGATTGTACTGTAAAACTTTAATGACTACTATCATGGCAGAGAAGTTTCTGATCTAGGACCTGCCCTTCCTTTTCCTCTCTTGGGATGTGGCTGTGGTTAGAAGGGCAGCTACTCTGAAAGTAAAAATGAATTACTGGGAGGAATTGCACACAAAATCCATCATGAAATAAGAAAATGCATTGGATTGTCAGTCACACATCTACCCATCTGCTGCTCATCATTTGATTTATTTGACCTGAGCACCAGTGATCTCTGGGAGATACTGGGTTCTAATGACTCTGACCCCATCACAATTATATAGCAAGAAAATATCATACAAAAGGAAATTGCCACAGGAGTGCTCTTGTTTCCACCTTCCTATATGGTCTGCAAATTTCAATTGCTGGGAAATCCTGGGAAGGGCCATGGACTTTCACACTCGGTTAATAAATATATTATCTTTCTGTATGGTAACTACTGTAGAGGCACCTGATCCTGATCTTTTGAAACTCCTGATCTACTTTGATATAAACACACCAGAACCGTTGGGAATCTCACAAGAACAAGCTGAACCTCCATGTATCTATTTTAAATGTAGGGCCTTATCTTGAAGTCCTCCTCCAGGCAAAGCTCCCACTGCTTTTATTCGTAGCTTTGGCTGAATAAGGACAGCAGGACCGCATTCTCACTGATCAAGCACTCTCATTACATTGCTAGGATCCCAGCATTAGATTTTGTATTTATTTGTATGCATTAAAATGTTTTTCATGTTTTTTTAATGCATCAGAGTTGAAACAGACATGTAGCTTGGATTCTTAATTTTACAAAGGTATTGTAAGAAACCCTAAGCCTATGAACAGACAGGTGGTTAACCAGAAGTCCTGGTCCTGTAGAGCTCCTGAGCATGACAGGATCTATGGATAAAATTCTGCAAAGCTTCTAAGCTCCAGAAGTGCATCACAGCAGTTTAACATTAGTCCAGCACCCCTTAGCAACTACATAGCACTGAGGCCTGAAGTTTAGTTCCTTTAGAGGTAAGGTGCTCTACAAGAAGAAAGCTGTAGTCAGCTCAGTGCTGAGAGACATGAGTGACCTTTAGTTAACCCCAGCTGCCAACTGATACGGAAATGGAAAATTACAGTTGCAGTGCACACACCAAAGAAATGCAATAAAATAGTAAATTAACATCTCCTCTTGTATGAGTGTACCGTTTCTTGTTTGTGAAACCATGTGTATTGGAAAACATGTAAATGACAATTTTGGTGGTCATAACTCACAGCTTGTTCAACCTCTGCAAAATAAAAAAGCCAAACCAAAAAAAAAAAAAATGGTGCCTGATGAAAACCAATACAAATTTTGGTGGTGTCTTCAAATAATGTGTTAAATGCCCTGCAAAAGTCTGGTCTCAAAAGCAAGTCTCCTTCTTTTGCCTTGGCGGTGAATCATGCAGTAATTAACCATTCTCTCGTTCTTTTTTCCCCCATCATTTAAAATGCACCTGCAGAAGAGGATGCCTCTCCCTGTGCCCCTCAATTAGCACATGGACGGCAGTGTCCGAACGGCACTGAGTGCAAACCTGGATGGGAAGGGCCCAAGCATGGCATTACCAATTTCGACAACTTTGCTTTTGCCATGTTAACTGTGTTTCAGTGCATCACTATGGAGGGCTGGACAGATGTACTATACTGGGTACGTATCTGAAAATCACCAATCTCTGGGCCCAATAGTGCTGCCCTGCCATGATGAGAATATGGGGCTCTGGCGTGGTTTTTATTTTGCTCATTCGTTATGTGTGGTAATAAGATGGTTAACAATAACTGGATGTAATTAACTTAGTGCATTAAAGGGGTGGCATGCAAGCTGTCAGCTGTCATATTTTTTAAAATTTAAATGTGAACTTTCTATTATATTAAAATATTGAAAGATGGCAGATGGCCTTTTGGTTTGAGAATCTACAATGCACCTTTGTTGAACTGGGGGTCATGAAGTGACCCTCCCAATATATGAACTATTTTGCACAAATCCAGTGACTAATGCAGCTATATTTTGTCACGAGCGAAGATAATCATGTACTTCACATAGTAGCATTGCTATTAACAAAGGCACTAGAATGAAGAGATCCACAGATTCACAAGGAAGTTCGAAAAAACCTTCTAGATCCCCACTCTAATCCTAATTATTGACGTCCTCTTGATCTTAGTTCTTACCCTGATCCTAATTCTGATGTTGACCTAGATAATGACCCAAATTTTTATCTTAATCATGATCCAAATTCTATGTTTAATCTTTACGGTGAACCTTAACATTAACGGTCATCCTCACCCTAACCTGGACACCTGCATTCAATTTGATTCATCTTTTTTAGGTCCCATCATTTGGGGGACCCAATAACAACATGATAGTCCCACAAGAGTTTAAATAAGCATTGACCTTGCATTGTAAATGGGATCCACTTGAGCTCCTGAACTATGCTATTGCTTTGGGCTTCTTTAGAGTTGTAGCATGGTTCAGGAACATGCCTAAAACATAGCTTAGTCTTGACTATACTGTGAGAGTCTGGGTTTTAACTGTGTTTGCAGACTTCTGCATCACTGGTTCCCCCAGTATAAAAGGAACTTCACTATAGATAGAGCATGAGGCTCAAAGCATGGTAGAATGAACACCAAAATATTCTAAGAAAAATGCGGAAAAGGTCTGGACTAGGACAAACTTGTGCTGTTAATCAACACCCCCATTTCCCTTTAAACTTGATCTTGAAACTACATCCCATCTGCCATTAAGGTAGGGTTTAAAATATTTCTCTTTGAAGATTGACTGTCTTTAGTGTATCCATTACCCATGGACGAGACTCACATAGATAATGATTGTCTTTTCAGTTTTTTAAATTTAGATTAGTCTGGTGGTGTCAGTTCCCTCCTCGTGATTAATATAAGATGCATAGATGAAAATATTTGAGAGAAATCTGGGTCTTGCACAATGAAAATTAGCATAAACAATGAGAAGTCCTGGGGCACCTTATAGACTAACAGATTTATTGGAGCAGAAGCTTTAGTGGGCAAAGACCCACTTCGTCAGATGCATGTAGTGGAAATTCCAGAGGCAGGTATAATACAGGCACATGAAAAGAAAAGAGTACCAATCAAGAGGGAGGCCAGAGACTGGTACTCTTTTCTTTTTGTGTGCTTGTATATCTATACCTGCCACTGGAATTTCCACTACATGCATCTGATGAAGTGGGTCTTTGCCCACGAAAGCTTATGCTCCAATAAATCTATTAATCTATAAGGTGCCACAGGACTTCTCATGGTTTATGCAGATTCAGACTAACACAGCTACCCCTCTGATACTTGTCACAATGAAAATTAGATTTACTTGAAACAAGAGTACACATTAATAAAAACAGTGAAGAAAAAACTAAAACCAGAAAAGAAACCAGGCGAAATGTCTCAGTGTTTCATACAAACAGTATATCTGTCAGTCATATTTCAATTGTATCCATCGCTATGATGTCTGAGAGCTGTACCTCTGTGTATCTGAGGGACACTTACAGGTCGTTCAGTGGAGAGAATCCAAAACAAGGTGAACAAGGCAATGAATAATAAATAGTGAAGCACTTGTGGCATTGTACACTGTTTAGCCATGTGAAATGAATCCCCCATGAATCTCTATAGGTGGGTTTTACAATAGACCATCTCTGACTTCTGAGTCCCTGCATCGTTCACAGGACAGGGTATAAAATACTCAGGATACAGTCATCAGTTCTTATTCACCCATTGTTAGGAGCCAAACGCATAGAGCCATTGATAAATGCTCTTCTACAGTGACTGCTACAGATTGCTTCCATTTTTCATGGAGCCCCTACTGCAACTTAACTTTTGGGTGTTAGGTTTTGGTTTGGTTTGAGCTACTTTCCTAAGTATTTCCCCCCCTTTCATACAGTACAGTACATTGAGGCCTCTAATTTTAATTAATTGTTGCATATTAGTTCTTCGGGACAACTCTGGAGCTCTTAGTCTTCAAGGCAGTGGTGCGCGACCTGTGGCCCAAAGGCTGAATGTGGCCTGTTGGGGTTCTATGTGTGGCCCACATGACATTTTGTTTACCATTGCGTACACACGTGGTTTTCCTCCCTGTAGTTTTTTTTTTTTCCTACCGGTATTATAAAAGGAACAAGCACATAAAGCCAAGGCACATGTAGTGAGATGCATGCTGACTGCACACAACAAGACTTAGCATCCTTCTGCATCCAATCAAAGCGCTGCTACAGTTCAGCCATCACACCCCACACATTCTAGGTACACAAATGCAACTAGCAAAACTACCCTATCCCAGGAGGCTGTTACAACACTCTTGTGGTCTGCTGAGATGAAGGAGGGCCACTCATGTGGCCCACTCACTAGCCTAAGTTGCCCCTCGCTGCTTCAGGATGTAGGTATATAGAACAGTTGCTTCAAAAAGGAAAAATGTTCTTGTTCTCCATTCCAAGTTATTCCCAGACCAAAAAAAAATTAAACTGTGGGATAGAATCTTCTGCAGCTGGGTGTCATAATGGCTAGAGCACTGATCTTTCAGTCTGTAAGGCCAGAGACCATAATAGAGGAACCTAGACCCTCCCTCTTCATAGGATCCCATCCCAGAGCCCAGTATAGATCAGTCCCTAAACTGGAGAGATGGCATCTCCCATTCCAGGAGGGAGTCAAGCCCCAATTCTGTGGGCTACTTCCTAACAGTCTCTTCAATTTGGGGTGTGGCCCTACTAATGCAGGTTCCCAAGTGCTGGGGCTTATTTGTACCCTCCCCTTTGCATGGAAGCCCTTACTTGCTTCCATCCCATCAGGCAGGTAGACAGAGAGTTCCTGCCTCCTCACCAATCAGCCCCCAACTGAGCCTGGCCCCCTTCTTTTCTCCCCTTTCATGCCTGACATTGGTCTCAGGTATCATGGAGCAGGATTAGCTGAACCCAGATGTTTTCTTTAACCCTTGCTGTTCCAGATGGTCCTTTTTCTGTACCCTCACAAGGTGGAATTAAGGTTGGAAATAGAGTATCAATAACAAAAGAGAAACATTTCTGTAACTAATAAAAACATGCAGCCCACATTAACAATGTCTGAAAGCCAGATAATACAAAGTTCAGAAAATTTAGAAAAATCACTAGGAAAAACTACACTGGAAATGATCGACATTTAGATATAAGGTGATCCAAAGAATCTTAACTGTGCCCTAATAGCCATGCCATCCTTTGACTGTCATTTTATATAGATACATTGGCCGCCATTAAGAAGTCTGTGCTTGTCAAAAGTTGCCATACCACAGTATCCGAAGTACCATGATTATATTTCACTACTTAGAAGAGCCTGGTGTTTATATAGCAAATGCCAATTTTTAATTGGAACTACTGTACACATCTATGATAAGTGTTTCCTCTATATTAGGTGGCATGTTGAAACACTACAAACATTGACATTTCAATTGTGTCTGCAGATATCTTAAGCAACATGTACAGATTAGGCAGTAGCGTACACAAAGCCTAAGAGCAAAGATATACTGGCTTTCTAAGATACCTACAGCAACATAGAAACTTAACATACTGAATATTAAAATTTAAGAGAGTTCCAAACTTTCCAATCCTCTGGAATGAATGAAGTATTTTAGAAAGTGGCATAGAACATGGGTAATCTTGGGTTACAATTCTCTGAGTTTCTGGGTCTGTAATAGAGCCTGATTCATAATCCAGATCTCTTAGCTCCCAGACCTCTGTATTAACCAAAAGACCATTCTTCTACTTAGAGTTAGCCCGGTGGTGGTGGTGTCTATTCAAGAGAGTGATCAAGTAAGTGACACATGGCACTAAGGCTATTTAAAAGAGCCGTTGTATCAGATTAGTAGGTTGGGAATAAAAAATGATTTAATTAGAAATACATTTTCAACTTTAAAGAGAGATTGGTGTCTTTCCAAAATATTAGGTTCCCTCTCACCAACTTTCTCTGGAAAACGAGGGAGAAAAATGGTGTTTGGTCGTTGTTATTTTTTTAATTTGTATATCAAGAAAAGTGCAGGCAATTTCTAAGGTTTATGCCTCATCAGTGGGTAAAAGAAAATCAGAATTTTTGACCATTATATTCAAAAGATGCCTGAAATTTTGCTCCTACATCCATGTTTAGACACCTGAATAACTTACCTGACATTTTAAAATGCTTGGCATGCAAAGTTTAGAGAAAGTTGCTGGGTATTTGACACTTTGAAAATCGTGCTAATTTAAGTACCCAAAGTAAAATCCTAGCTTTGTTGAAGTCAATGGCAAAATTCTCATTAACTTCAGTGAAGTCAAAATTTCATTCATTATGTTTTCTGTGCAGTCACATGCGCTAGCCCTGGACTCACAAGTGTGTATATAGGGATGGGCTCTATTGTACTAACTACCTTCTGAGGACAGGAATTAGAGGTAAACAATTTGCTTTGCTCTCCCTTCAAGTCTGAAAATGAAAGTTTGTCCGAAAACTCAATAGATAAAGGTTGAAGCCTTTAAGTTGAATTAGTTGGTTGGATATATTCATGCAATTGAGCCATTTCCTTGGTTGAACATTGCTAAGTGCCTTGCAATATTCAGTTCTGCTTCCCTCTTCCCCTCTCCTAAGGACAGATTCTGAGACATGCTGAGCACTCGCAATTCTGATCAAAGTCAATGAGAG